AAAGGAAAGATTAATTCATTCCATTATGATGCCATTCACTTGTGATAGCAAAACATGGAAAACCATTTCTCAACAAAGTAGCGTTAAATCCCAATAGCCTTTCAAATAGTCGCAAAAGCCACGTATAAAAGAAATATTTTGTAAGACATTAAAATAAAACACATAGTAATATTAATATGCTGGTTACCTTAATTAATACCAATTAAGACGAAACAGATGGCGCTAGCGTAGCAGTTTTGATTTTCACAGTCCATCCGTGAGTACGGTTATTACAAAGCATCCAGCAATCCTCGATATCTCGAGGCATAGTTGAAATAAAAAATAAAAACTTTAAGTGATATATATCGTATGTTAACCACTAAAAGTGTTTTATTTCAATGTATACTTGCGTAAACTACATTCTATCAACGAGCTCTTCGCCCAAACTGGGCAAAGGCTTCGTCACTCTACGCTTCGCAAGATTTACCAAGTTTCATTGATTTCAGCTCGACTGTACTTTTCTATTTATAGTTCGTAGTTTCTCTTTGGCAGTACTTGTTTGCTTTCATTGGAAAATTTTATGGATAGAAGAATAGACTTTTGTGCGCTGCCTTATCGAGAGAGATGTATGTTTTACAATGCATGTTACAAGTAATTAGAACGACTAGGCTGAGGCCGCGTTACAATTACTTGAATGGTTACATGTTGAGGCTTCTAGTTATACGACAGATATCGTATGGGATTTCATATTTGCGCTGCCTTATTTCAAAACTGAATTAGTCGACATTTGACTTTAATTTAAAGTATTACAATTTTAATACAAATAATTCCTTTTTTTTTGAATATGTATTACATAAAAATAATGAAGTACAATCTATTTGTCTATCAACACATGGTGCAAACCATAGACCATTTACAGAAATTTTAGAAATTCTTGGCATTACATATTTTAAGAATAATTATGTATTTATTTATTTATTTATTCTTTATTGCACAAAAAATAAAAATATTACAAATTAAACCTATATACTAGAATGGAGAGCAATGGGCGGCCTTATCGCTAACAAGCGATCTCTTCCAGGCAACCTTAAGTTATGAAATGTTAAGAAATTGAGATGTGCAAGGTAGGCGAAACAAATTAATACAAACAATAAATAATCATAAACAAAAAAAAAACAGAACTTAAAATAAAAACATACAGATCTAAAAAGGTTACATGTTTACTAACTTAAACGAAGGGACTAAATATATTTAAAATAAATAGATAGTGACTTTACACAGATGACAGGAAATGTTTATAAAGCAGCCGTTTAAATGATGGGAGAGAAGGAGCCATGCGTATGGAAACGGGTAAGGCGTTCCATAGTCTGATCGCAGTAATTTGAAAGGATTTACCTTGGAAATTGGAGCTGTGAGAAGGAACCTCAAGAATATGACGGTCCGATGATCGTAAACTATAACTACCATAGGGACCCAAATATTTAAAATATAGATTTAAGATAAGGGGGAGAATTTGGGGCGAAGAGAATAGAGTATAGGAGCTGAAGAACATGTGAGTCTCGCCGAAGGCGAATGGACAGCCACCCTAACTTTTTACGAAACGCAGAAATATGGTCGAATTTTCGTAGTCCAAATATAAATCGGATACAGAAATTTTGCAGACGTTCCAGCTTATCTAATAGTTCTTCATTCATATCCGTAGAGCATACATCAGCATAGTCAAGCAGTGGTAAAAGAAGGGTTTGTGCTAGAGTAGTTTTAGTCCGAATGGGAAGGAAATTGCTGAGTCGTCTTAACATACTCGAAGCGGCATATATTTTACGACTGATTTGCTCAACATGCGACGCCCAGGAGAAGGTTTGGTCAAAGTACACACCAAGATTTTTTACTGATTTACTAAAGTTGAGAGCTACATTTTCTATTTGAACACAGGGCAACTGTGCCCAATCTACTCTCGAGACATAATAAGAACTACCTATAACAATAATTTGGCTTTTCAAAGGATTGATTTTGAGGCCAAAAACTTTACACCACTCTTCTATTTTACGAAGATCATCATTTGTCGCCTGGATAGTAAGAGGAAGATCTTCAAGTGAAGATTGGGAATAAATTTGAAGATCATCAGCAAACAAGTGATAGCAAGATGCAAGACGAGAGGTTAGGGAGTTTATAAAGATCGCAAAGAGAAGAGGAGAGAGGACTCCTCCCTGAGGAACACCAGCCGTTACATTGTTCCACTCAGAAATAATATTATCCCCTCCCCCGTTGATACGTTGGCGACGACCGTAAAGATAACTCGAAAACCAGTTTATGGAAGATGGAGAAATGTTAATAGAACGGAGAAGGCCAAGTAGAAGCTCAAAATTAACAGCATTAAAAGCGTTGCTAAAATCTAATAATGTTAATACAGTTAACTGCCTACCATCCATTCCCTGGCGGATATCGTCGGCGACCTTTACGAGAGTAGTAGACGTGCTATGACCGGGACGGAAACCAGACTGCAGTGGATCAAGGATAGAGTTCTTATTAAGGAATTCGCTAAGATGCTGGTGGACAATACGTTCAAGAACTTTTGAGAAAAAGGGGAGGATAGTGATGGGGCGGAAGTCAGAGAAATCGGTAGGATTCGACTTTTTGGGAATAGGGACAACCAAACCGGGGGAAATGTACTGCAGGAGATAGAATAATTAAATATATGGGCAAGGATAGGAAGGATGATTGGGAGAATGGGTAAGATCATAGCACGACTAATCAAGTCGCAGCCAACAGCATTCGATGAAATTGACAAAATGCCCCTCTCGACATCTTTTTCAGTAACAGAAGTAAGGGAGAAAGGAACAAAATCAGGAATAGGCAGCGATGATATATTTTGCAAAGAATAATCTAAATTAAAGCCTTTAGGGGTAGAGGAAGACGTAAAGTGGCAATTCAAACTGTTTAAATCAAAAGAGGAGGGAATAACAGTTTGAGAGGGTTTGCCTACACCCAGGCGCTTTAGGAACTTCCAGGTTTTGGATGTATCGCCGTTGGCCACAGATTCGTGAATATGGCGTCTTTGGGCATCACGACACTGAGTGTTGCACCGATTACGCACTTTCTTGTAAGCATCACGTTCAGCTGCAGATTTAGCCGCTCTCATTTTAGCCTTAGCTCTATTTTTTTTATTAATTAGAATTTTGATGTCTTCGGTAAGCCACGGAGCAGGTAAATGTCTCAACTTAACGGGCCTCAATGGTGCGTGTTTGTCGTAAAGACAGGTGATAGCGTCGTTAAGCAAATCAACCTTCGCGTCCAAAGACTCTGATGAATACATGCCACTCCAATCAACCAATGAAGCATCAGTGTATAACGCTTGCGGATCAATTCCGCTGAGGTTGCGGCGAAGAACAATAGGCGGTTTAGGTTTCGGTGGTTTGATATTTAAGGAAGTGAACACGAGATCGTGAAGGGAGAAGGCAACGGCGGGAACCTGACCATGTTTGTGGATAAGGTGAGGAGAGGAAGTAAAAATTAAATCAAGTAAGGAGGGATTGCAACCAGGTGAAAGATGAGTCGCACTGAGTGGTAAATTATGAAGATTGAATGAGTTACAAATCGAAAGCAGCTTCTTTGATCGATGGTCGTCTTTGATAAGGCAAGTATTAAAATCACCCATGAGTAATGTGTTATTATACAAAGGAACAAATCTCTCAAGAGTACTTTCGAAACTTGCAAAGTAATCAACCGACATTGAAGGCGAATAAAAGACCCCGAGCAGTGTTTTAGTTTTAGCAAGAAGGATTTCTACAAGTAAATGCTCAGCCGCGTTCGATGGAGGCGGCTGGGGTGATTGGCTTATGATTGTAAAAGGGATGTGCGATCGCAAGTAGATAGCAACACCACCACCGCGCATACCAACTCTGTCATTTCGGATTAAGTTAAACCCAGGAAGAGAAAAATTATGAGAGAGAAGAGAGGGATTAAGCCATGTTTCAGAAACACATACAGCATGGATGTTATTTGAAATAAACGAAGATAGTAGGTCTGAGTAATGCGCAGGAATGCTTTGCGCGTTGATGTGAATAGCATTAAATTTTTTTGGCAAGTTATCAAAAAGGGAGGAGAGAGTTACTTCTAATGGGAGAAGAGTAGAGGAGTCGGCGCTATGGAACGAACATTCATCGGAAGACGAGAGAGAAACATAATCTAAATTGTCACTATCGTAATTAATCATAGAGTTAAAAATTAAACAAAGAAAAAATAAATCTGTATACGAGTAATTTACAAACTAGCTCGACTAAATATTACTATAATATACAATACTTGCACATTCCGCTAAATTATAAAAAATACAAACTTTTTCCTATTGTGATAACACAAATTATAACAATGATAAAAAAAATACTGACACAAATTAAAAGTATTGAATACAACTACTAGCTACATACATAGTTATCAAAGAAACACAATTTATATATTTTACAAGCAGGCAACAGCACCCTAATTACTAACCGACATTAAAACATTGATACAATAAAATTACAAGCACAATGTTAAAGTATGTTTTATACAGAGTAGGTATAATTAAAAGTAAAAAATAACACATTGAATGGTACGAAAATAAAGTTAATAAAGTAAAATAACGCTTCTTAAATAACGAAAATAAAACTACAAGAACACTAGTAATGATATTTCAGTACGAAGAGTGTAATTATCTATGTCATGTTATAATCTATAAATTTTACTGACAGCTGACAATTTTTGTGGTGGCAACACTTGCGCATGCGCCTGCGCATACTGAGTTAACTGTCATAGGACATTGTTTACAATGAGTTGCACCATTAAACAAAACAAAATATGTTAATAACTCAAAGTATAAAAAAAGAAGAAACTGTAATTTATATGTCAATTTAAATAGCTTACTAAATTAATGTATACACTGTTACCTGCTATTATATACCTTCTAAACTATTTCGTTAACAACACTAAGCACTAAGCATACACTCAGGCTGAACTTAATTAATAGCACTAAACCGTGGTTGTTATGTCTTAGACGGGGCCTTTTTTGTATGTAATTTCGCATGACGGGAGGTGGAATGATCAGACTTCACTTGCACGGGAGGGGTACTTTTAGGAATGTCATCAATATCTGTCAAGGAAGTGATACAGCGACGTTCTTTGTCTTCCCCAATAGCGAATATGGAGCCACCTCGAGTCCAGCAGTTAGAAACGCCGAATTTTTCCCTGGCAGCCATGAATAGTTTGTGGCGTGTCTTAGTAAGGAACTCAGATAAAGTTATGCCCGTGCCTTTGAGATTAGTCTTAGCCATCCAGATTTTATTTTTGACTTCAACATCATGAAACTTGATTAGTAAAGGACGAAGAGTGTTGCTTTTTCTAAAACCCATCCTGGTGCAGCGACTCAAACTAGTTTCGGTTACCTCAGGCAATTTTAGTAGTACAGCTATCATATTAGCAACTGTGCTAGGGCTCTCTTCCTTGTTCTCGTTCACACCATGCAGCAGTAAGAACTTCCGTCGATTCCGCATTTCCTGCTCGTCTTGCAGCTTAAAAAGCATCTCCATTTGAGTCTGGAGATTCTGAAGGCAGAATAGAACCGAGCTACGGAACACTTCAAACTCCTTAGCTAGAGGGCATGACTCAGTTTCATGACTGCTTGGCGATGATGGAGCGTTCCTGACTGTTTGGAGGCGCTGGTTGGTCCATCTTCAAAGACACCATGTCGGAGACATCCAACAAGGTTTTCTTCAGTTCATCCATTGTAAACAGTAGTATGTAGGTAGTTGTGGTATATTAAAAATATATATTATCGTGAGTATATGAAAATTGCCTTAAAATAAAGAAAGTATTAAGGAAAATTAGCGAAATCGGTGCACTGGGGTACTACCACATCATTTCACACAAAAGTTTTATATTCCAAACTAAAGAGATGTTTTTAATTTACGATAAATATGAGAGCACACCTTGACGTGTTAACGCGTACCCGCGGTCTTTCATTATGTGTTTTGGTACAATAAAAATTATAAGTTATATAAAGTCATGCCGGATTGGTCATAACGCGTTACGTAACGAAATAATATTTCTAATCTTGACTTAAAATATCTCCGATATTTGGTTTCAGACTAAGTTACTTTTTAAACGGTTTATGTTTTATGCTTAAAATTAAATAGTCATGAGTTAAAATAATTTACTTTACGTTATATATTAACAGAAATATTTTCTGAACGCGGTATTAAACTGTTATAATTACAAAGGTATTGTGTATGCATGTTTTCGCAAATTCTACGGTTAACAAAACATCACAGCATGTTTGCGAGCGACGTAATTCCAAGTATTAGATGAGTGAGATTGTTGAAAAGTTCGCGACATCGTTAGGCCATAGCACGTGGCGTTTTTTAAACGCGCAGAAGACGCACGCGCTTCGAACAAAACCTTGTAAGCCAAGCACACGGAGAGATCGTTAAACGCGCCTCTACTGCAAACAGACGTAGCAATAGTCGCTCGGAACTTTTTTACGCGTTTTATTTAGAAACGTTTTGATCATTCCGTTCCATAATGGTGTCGGTTGAGACAACACTGCTTATGTTGGCTTTAGTTCTTTGTTTTAAAAAGAAAAAAACTAAAAAAGGCGAATCTTTTAAAATTATAATTAAACACACACACCTATAAAAAATTAAATTCCTCAAATTTCAAAAGTGTTCAGTCATTTCGGCGATATAGAATAAAGAATTTTGTTCGAAACATTCGTCGTTCGAAACGTATCTATAGTAATATTATGAGGCTGACGAGTTTATTTGATTCGCAAATCTATTGGATGGATGAGCGCGTTTCGTATCATCAATGCTGACGCAACAATCAGCGTCCATTATACCGAAGACGCGCGTCTTCTGCGCGTTTTTAAAACGCCATGTGGTTGGGGCCTTTCTAGACGAGAGATTTAAATATTCTATATTGTTGTGCGAAATTACTTAAATCTTTCGAACAATCGCGAAATTTTAATTTGTTAATACAGATTTTGTTCTAACTTAAATGTCTTACTGCTGAACACGCAAAATTGTATGATAAAATCCCAAACAAAAATTTTAGTGCACTGCAAATCTTGGCTTTGCACATTCAAATATCCACAGTCTGAAACCGCAACGTGGAAACTTTACTGTTTCTCCATCTGTGGACGGTGTTTTGAGACCCAGGTGGAACTTTGAGATTACTGCATCCAATCCAATGACCCGAATTTCCCGGGGCAGTAAAATAAGAATATTTACAATCACGCTAAACCAGGTAGTAATGGAATAATCGTTTCGTTAAGAGAAACAGACTTTCGTTTTATGAAGCATTATTTTTACTATTACGTATAAGCTAGATTTTAAAAAGTAGTCTTACGAGTTCTATCAATAGGAAGAACAGGCTTCGACCACAAATAAATTGCAGCCAAATATCAGCCCACTCAGCACTTACGATATTTCTATATGGACGGATGGCTAGGGCTGTAATGTCTGACCTTTTGTTGTGCGGTCCAAGTCTTATACTTAAATAAATGCCGCTTATCTGACGTAATTTTCATTGTAATTTATCTGTCTGTAATTAACGCATGAAAACATTTAAATAAAACACTTTTAACGGTTTAAATTTAAAAAAAATTACTGACTTAGTCAATTTTGTAAGGACCCAGCCAAATACCAACTACTACTGAACAGATAGTGTATCATATTGTTACAATTAAAACAAATTTTAAAAAATATGTTCAAATCACGCCTGTATTATTTAATTTCTTTATTTTAATAAATTTTGGAAAATATAGATCCTGCAGCCCCTAGCAAAAGATTAATATAATATAAGGCCAAGCATTGCATTTAAAATCATTCATTTTAGTCGCGACATCTGATGACTTGGGCCGGCCAAAATGCAAGTCATGTATTTCTCCCCTGCGGTGGGTTTCACTTAGTCTCAGTTCTCAGAAGGCGGAATGTGTGTATCGCTTTTTGATGAGACGAACATAATGTTCTATCGCATTTCAACTTATTTCTCAATCTGACAGTTCATAAAGATTATTGGTGGTCATATCCAGATTTTCATTTAAAACAGGCGCATCCAGCTTTAATATATTACATATAATTAAACATACATACAACCTATTAAAATAATACACGTTTATTAAATGTCATAAATAAGGTTGTGTCGACAAATTATACAATAATCAGTTCAGTCGTTTCGGCGATAGAGAATAAGGAATTCTGCTGTAAACATTCGCATCTCTGTTAATTTTATAAAGCTAGAATTTATTTGTTTGAACGCGCTAATCTCAGAAACTAATCGATTGGAATGAATTTTTTTATGGTTAAAGCATTTTTCAAGGAAGGCCTTAGGCTATAAAACGTCAATACAAAAGCGAAGAAGTGGGAAACGTGGAATAAACAGGATACCCCAAAAACATCTATGAAAGAATGATTACTCTTTAAATAATCGAACAAAATCGCGACAGACGAGGCAAAGGTTGATGGCCAAAATAATTCTACGCGGACGAAGTCATTGGCACACACACAATATCGATAGTACAATACAGTACACACAGCTGTCTGTATTGTATGAGGCAAAAACATATAAAAAGAAAAATACAAAGATTTAAGTGAATTAATTAAAACTTGCGCATACGATACAAATGGAAAGCCATTAGACAAACACGAGTAAGCTGAGATTGGATGGTACTGAACACAAATTAGTCTAGACGAAATGAATCTGTTTCAGCGATTGTTCAAGAACGTTTTGTTTTCTAAGGTGGATCTCATTATTGAAGTTCTAACAACGAATTTAAATGTTTTCACAATTTTAGAACAGTTATCTCTATTTCTTTATGTGGGAATAGGGCAGACACAGTTGTCTTTACTATCGATTTTACTGGCGGATTCGTTGATATCCAACACGTTTCTAATTAATTTATACACACTTGCTCTTCAGCCCCCCATGACCACGGCTGCTGCAAAGCATCCGAAGCGTCAAGCCGTAGTTAAAATTAATTAAAAACAAGTTAACTTGTTAAACTGTTAAAAATGTTTATTCACATTACACGCGTAGACTATAGGCAATGCTTTAGACTTTCTGGGAAAATGCAATGTTTATCCTTTGATTTTCCAAGTATAAATAAAGTTATTATTTCACCTATAGTAATTTCTATAATATAAAAACTGTAAAACAAAATAACAAATAAATAATTCCTTATTAATTGTAATAAAATGATGTTTAAATATATTTTAAGTCTACATATATTTAAACATCATTTACTATATACTATAGTCTACTTAAAAGTTCTACTCACCTAATATGCTAAAAGGTAGATGAAACCACATAGCTAGTCACATAACTTAATCAGAAGATTTTATTGACTATGTAAAACAATGCGTAGAACTCCAAACAATTATTACCCAGTAATAAATTGAATCGTAAACCCGAATCATATTAGAGTTTGTAACGCGTAAATTCATGAATTATTGTCATACGTTTTATCGTTCCAAACTTAATTTCCCGGAACCCTTACGAAGTTTGCCATACTTAAACCGCGTTCTGATTACAGCTAATGAAAATTAACTCGAAACGAACTTAGAACTTTCCTTTATCGTTTTATTATAGCACTCAAAATATTAGAATGTTGCACGATTAATAAAACACGAAAATGTTTACGTGAAACAAGTAGTAGAACAAGTTATCGTGGGTTCGAATTCTGAAAAAAGAACTATTTTTTAACTCGTGTAGATTGATGACAATAGTCGAATATCATTTTCTACAATGTACAAACTGTCGCATTATTTATCTTTTAGGTATTATCTAGTAACAATTATAAATTATGTTAAAATTGATAGCAGGTTGTATACCATCTACAGATACTCAGCAAAGGATGTTCAGTACGTTAAAATTAATTATTTTCTTCATTAAATACTGTCTGTAGTTTATGTAAGTAGTACACAATAAACTGTCGCCCCATGACTACGACTTCTGCAAAGCATCCGAAAAGTAGGACCGTAGTTAAAATTATTTTAAAATAGTTTTATTTAAATATATCCCTGAGGAAGGAAATGTCTTTGTAGCTTAATATATAATATAAACTTGTGTCTGACAACTTTAATACTTAACGTTTGCACATGATGGTATTATATAAATTAAAAATCATTTTTTTACAATCTAAATACATTTTTTATTTATTTACGTATATTCAGTAAAATAACGAAAATATTCTCTCGCTAACTCATAAACTAAGAAGACAAAGTATTTTTTTCAATTACTTCGGGAAAAACAGTTCCAATTTCAAAATACTTACAGAATACACCTTGACTATTCGCCAGGGCAAGCGCAACGAAGTACTCAAATGTAACACGGTCACTAGATCGGTACTAACAATAATAACTCCTCGCCGTTCTACGCTATTATTTCAGCTGGCAGTTGGGATGAGATACTGGCCAGCTTAGCTTGAATACAGTTAGTCTTGTAATGGTCTACAATTATTATAATGTCTGAATTTCGGAACGTAGCGGCATTATGGGATTTCGCATCAAACCACTTCTGTTTTGAATATAATATCTAGTGTAAAATCCTCTTTCTTGTACGAGCACAGACACAATTTAGTGTCTGTTTTGCTGATCTACTTCATTTATAGGTAGTTTTTTTTTACGGCCTCGTTGGTGGTGACAATATAAGGTTAATCAACGGGTCGATTCCCACCATGCTTCTAATCAATTTATACATTTTCTGAAACATGATGATGGCTGGAGGAATATTGAAAATTCATTCGGGTCACGAACGGCCTTCCCCAGGCCTTCAAATCGCAATTCGGTTTCAAACTGTGGATTTCCGAATAACTGAACTCAAAATAGGTGGACAACGAATTATGTTGAGTTTAGTTATATGGCTGGGGTATATCACCTACCAACAAGTGAACTGGGGTTGGGAACTGCTTGCCTGTCCGCCTCTATCATAAAAAAAAAGAAAACTTTCACCACGACCATAGTATTTGTCATAACCGTGTTCGTGGCTAATATCTAGCCTAATTAGTCATTTATATAAGAAGCTTAAGTGATGCCTTCTTCCAAAACGTTGTAACTATAAGTTTGTCAAAGTTCTTTATTTTATACTTATTTGGGTATTAACTAAGTACTAGTTAATACCCAGATATGTGTAGTTTTGTAAAAAGTTGCGACGGGCCCAACATGAACATAATATCAAAATATTTCTTTTAGAAATGGTTGGATCATATAAAGTTTTTCTTAAAACTTTCGATTAATTTATTCCTATTGTTTTATGAAGATATAGCAATTGTTTATGTTGTTGTTTTAAAAATTACATAAAATAATATTATATTATGTGTTTTTAACAGCGTACTACGTTTAGCAGTTGATTGTAGACTTATAAAGCTTAACAGATAGCACGGATAAACACTGAAAAGCCAACACATATCCGTCGAGAGTTAATGTTAGTGAGTTTTTTGGAAAATTCCACATAACATTGTATCCTTGAATTTTCCAGAAAAATCGCACACAAGCAATCTCTTCCCTTCCTATTTCTATAGCCGAAATCGAGAGAGAATTCCAAGAAACCTTCTCAAAGGATGATATTACCTGAACTGTAACTTCAACGCTTGTATATCATTATTTGAAAATTGGATGTGTTTTTAGCCGTTTCCCTCTTCATTATACAGGGTGTATCCAAATATTGAGGGTTGATAAAGCAAACAGTCGGCTCATCACAGTAACTACAATATTTATGAGTTGCGACGCATCGAGTAACTAGATGAATATAAATGATGTTTACCATGTTTTTACGTTTAATTTTACGCATAAAAAGACGGACTTTTTCGAATTAATTTATTCTTATGTACTCAGTGGTCACAGATAAATTAAAGAATGCTTAGGTTTCTAACGCTTTATTAAGTCGATTGACCGTCTCTGTAGGCAAATGGTTAAACGCGAACATTGCGTTAAGAGCAAGACGTCCTGGGTTCGAATCCCAGGGAAACAGAAAAATGTTTCGGTCGGGCAGGGCACAGAAGTCTGATCAACTACTTGCCTGTTAAAGAACGGATCAGTAAAACGGACACAAAAATGTGTTCGCCCCATGCCCCGCCTGGGGGAAACGGGATTTCACATAAAGTAAATTGTAGTGTATCTACAATATATAGTATATTTTTTATTACTTGGCATTTTTGGTTAACAAACACATAGTGATGTCTGAGCATCACACAGGTGAAAAAGTTTAGTCGCGTTTCGCTTTCAATCTGTTTCTCGATTATGCAAAGTTAAAATAAGTCGACAGCACATCGTGCTAAGATGTCACATGCCATCAACTGAACCCGATGCTTCCCTCCTCTGTCACCGAGAACACATTTATTGTTTTATTACCAAAATGACCTTCGGCCTCACAGAACGTATTTTTCTTCCAGACACCCCACATCTTTCAATGTTATTTATTACAGTCCGCTTGAGACTTGAATTATGTGAGTGTTATCTTAATTGCTCAAGTCATATAATACGAATCGGACTAAGAGACGTGTTGGTATGTGTAGTCTTCGTTGGCTAGGGGTTTGATCCGTGGTCATGCAAAATAATTATCATTTCGTAAACATCGATATACCTACCATTATACCTACCAACACATGGTCTACCTGGTGAAACCTATATTCTCATAGAAGGCTTAAGTTATCCCACAAGTGGGATGGAGCTAACAAAATTAAAGAAGAAATATAACTGTTTATTAGTAATTGAATTTTGTCATACTGCAAATGGATAAAACAAAACAAAACGAACGTTCATTGAATTTTCCTTTGAGTTAATTAGTTGAGTGGAAATGTAAGCTTAAGTAAAATTCTCTTTTGACTGTATTTCAGTTTATAACTTTGCAAACCTGTGCGAAGGAGGAAATGAAAGTCAAAGTACTTCAAGTCTTATAATTAACATACAACTATAATACAAATTTAAAACTACCCTACAGCTAAGTAATATCACATATCATCAGCGACAAGTATTTTACAAAACCCTTGAGTAGCTTAGTTAAGTGTTGTCTATAGTTCACGCGAGTACACATTTAAATAAAACACTTTTAACGGTTCAAAACGCGAAATGTTCTTCAAATATCAATTAAGACGAAAAGGATGGCGCTAGCGTAGCAGTTTCGACTTTAAAATTAGGGACACTCTCCATCGTCAGTCTACCCATGACCACGGCTGCTATAAAGCATTCGAAACGTCGGGTTTTAGTAAAATAAATATTTTACTAATATGTTTCATGTTTTAAACCGTTAAAAGTGTTTTATTTAAATTGTTTAGTTACGGAAACAATTCAAGCTTTTTACATAAAAATATGTTTCTATGATAAGTTAATACAACTCTAACCACATGTAGAATATAAAATAAACTATTTAATAAATATGATTAAAAAGAAGACAGAACTAATATTGTAAACGTTAAAATTCCGTAATAAATTTATAATACTTTCAAAACGTATTCTAGGCTAATACTATCTTAAAAGCTATTGTCTACAATGAAAGGTTACCAAATTCCTAACTTTCTTTATCTTAAAATGTCTACTATACATACGTGTTTGTAGTTTATATCAAGTGGTCCATTGACAATAAAGTTTCAAAAGTTCCCACAACTAAACTACAAAGTACCAAGCGCTCAAGGGGAAAACATTTTTTGAAAATGTTTTATGCTTTTTGGCAAGGCTACTAAAAAGATCACAGTTGGAAAATTATTTACAACATCGTTGGTTTACTGACGCGAAACAGCGACCGTTTAAAATAAATACGAATAAGTACTGTCCAATAAATAGTGGTTTGAAAGGAAAATAACATAACTGGTAAGTACACATCATCGTACTGAATGTACAGTAGATAACAATAGAAGTATAATTCTTAAAATATAATTTTGTTCTCAATTATCTTAAATGCATTTACAAAGAATCTGTTAGACATGACGGCTTAGCATGCGCGCTACGACATATCTCTCTTGTGAATGACTAGTTTTTACTCGTATGAATTGTCGAGCCAGATATTAAAGACAATCATTTCAGATATCTCAACATTTGTAAAGTTTTGTGTATACATGTTTATATATTAATATTAATAAGATTGTTAAATACTGTCTGTGGTTTACGCGAGTAGTACATATTAACGGTGTCAAACGCAAAATTTATAAGTTAAGCTTTTTTAGTAATTATATTAACTACGGCCCGGCATTTCGGTTGCTTTCCCCGATGGATTCGTTTCAGATGGTCTCCTCGTGACCATGGCTGCTACAAAACATTCGAAACGTCGAGCCGTAGATAAAAGTAATTATTTTAACTACGGCTAAATTTTGATTAATGATAAAAGTCGAGAAGCGCATGCTAGGCCATATGATATCTATAGAACGCTCCTGAGCACCTTACAGATTTAATAATTTATTACATAATCAATTATACCCTACAGTTACGTTAATAATATCCTTAATGCCCAAATACATAGGATAACCAAAGCCGACGAATTCACATTAATAGCTCCTGAGGTTATTGTATTATTAACATAAACCACAGGCCACCAATGATTTATCGAAATGAATTGGTTGTCATTACTTGGCTTCGGTGTTGTTTCATGTTCAACCATATTATCGGGCATATAATTGCCACATGTTGGGAAATCTCTTGGTATTGGCGGGAAATCCCTTTCATCACCTACTTTAAACACAAGAGCCATGCCCACTTCCACGTGGAACTCTATGTGACAGTGGAAAAGCCAATACCCAGGATTATCAGCTTTGAATCGCAGAATCGTGTATCCACCATCGGGAACTGTGACTGTGTCTTTGAGGGGTGCGTTCTTTAGATTACGCTTCATGAGACCAGCTTTGTCGTACGCTTTGATTTCATCTACAGTGATTTCTTGGGCAAGCCGTCTCATACCGACTACTCTAAAGTAATATCCATGTAAGTGGAATGGATGATTTGCATCGAAGGTGACACCTTCGTCAACAATGATGAGCTCAACTACAGCATTCTTTCTAACTGACAGTACGTGGGAGCACTCACAGTATCCTTCTTTGCACGATTCGTCGATGCTTGATGAGTTGCAGAAGTTGTCTGATGATGGTCGTGATAACATTAATGGACTAGATGGCATCTTCATACTGATGTGGTTCAATTGAGGCGTGTATAAACGATTGTCGGGATTTGGAACTGAAAATGAAACATTAGTATGATTTGTTACTCCTGAACTGTTGACGCATTTCAAGTAATTGAACTTCGTATTAAATATTTTAAAATAGACAAAGAAAAAGAAAGAAGGGCTCTGTGATCGAATTGAACCAACAATAATCATCGAGTCTGATCCCCACCTGGTCCAGCATGTTTTTTATTTGTTTATAATTTAAAATTTTAAAATACTATTCTGTTAAATAAAATACTAATTTTAGATTGAAATTTTTTACGACACGTTGGGGACTTGATTCAATAGGTTGAATGAATTTGATGATGACGTGTAAGACACGGTAGCTCAAATGGTTAGAGCAACAGCACAGGATACTGTGGATGCCGATATAGTCTAAGGATTTTTAATTTATACAACATTTTCATACTATCTCTTATCTTCTTCACCTTGGTAATATCCATAATACGGTGACCTGTGGAAATGAGAGTTGTTCTTAGGGTAAAAGTCATATGCGATATAGAACTGGTAATCGGCTACTTCCTTTAAGCTGTCATCATGACCTTCTAGAGACCTCATGTCAGCTACACTGATCGTCTCTTCATCTTCTTCGCCTTTGTTCAATGCGTTCAATTGCTGAAAAAGAACGGAATATTTAATTCTTATAGAAAGGCTAGTCTTTTACTCGTCTTTAAAAATTTCTTGTAACCGTTGCATATTTAAGGATTCCCGTCATATTTTTACTTATAGAAATATATATAATATGTTTAGTTTTGGGATTACATAATTTATTTTATAAAAGTCTTATTTCTGGAGTCACCCGGAAATGTTCTACAATTGAGGCACATCACAAAATTTTATTGAATTCGCTACCATTATTTTCTAATAAGGAAGAATGTCAAATATTCAAATAAGTATATGAAGTGAATTTTCTGTTATATTGCTCAAGAAAATCTTTCATAATTTTTCAAAGACAGCGTACAATGAAGTTGCGTGAAACAATTTCGCTTAACAGTTTTTCCGTTAGAAACTTAAAGTAGTAAATAAAGTTATTTAGTAGCGTTTGTTGTGGAGCACCGTTATAAAATGAGCTCACGGTGAACTATAAAACCCTGGCAAGTGCGAGTTGGAGTCGCGACGTGGGGTTCCGTGACATCCTAAAAATAACAAAACACGTCAGCTTCTTGAGAGCCCTTTGGAATAGTAACTGTTAATGAAATACTGTCTTTAATTTACGCGAGTAGTACAAATTTAAATATAGCACTTTAACCCTTTAAAATGGAAATTATATAAGTTAAACTTATTTAAAAATTATTTCAACTACGATCGAACATCGTGGTCACGGGGAGACTGCTACTGCAAAGCATCCGAAACGTCGGGGCGTACTTAAAATATTTTTTAAATAAGTTTAACTAATACATTTTACGTTTTAAACCGTTAAAGTGTTTTATTTAATTATTTATTAATCCTATTATGTGCCTGTACCTGCTATGTGTCTGTTGCAAGTATATTTGTAGTGCAATTACAGGCGACCTGTAGTGAAATTTTTAACAGTTTGAAACGACAAATATATTCAGTCGATTTTAAAGAATGATTTTTATTTACGACCAGACATTTGTTATTCTTTGAGCAACCGTGGTCAAGGGGGAATAGAACATTTGTAAAGAGTTTAACTGTCTTCATGATACAATTCATTTAGACACATAGACTACGGACCTCTAAAGAGTAACCGACGCCAGAGTCTAAAGACGCTTAGAGTGGCTTTAGAGTAATTGAAATGTTTTGTCGTTACTGCACTTTATCTGCTACTTTTAAGGGGACGTGCGCACATATTCTGCTTGCTACACAGAATTTTTTTTGCTATTTCATTCATCGATAAAGCTGAAGTTATCAAATAATATGTGGTATAATACTCAGTTGTAACAAAAATTTCATAAAATTTGCGTTCTTTCAGCCATAATAAGAACATGTTTTATGTTATCTATATTTAATAGTTAAACATTGTAAAATATACCAAAATAAATGAAACTTGCCTACATCTATATACGGTTGGAAAATTTAAGTTTTATATTTATACTAGCTGTGCCCGCGACTTCTTCCACGTGGAATAGTAACTTTGGGTCGAATTTTCCAGTTATTAAGGCTGTTTATTTGTGTATGTGTAAATACAGTGTTCCACTGCAAAGAGCTTATTAAGGTATTCATAATAAGTATATCCTTGGTATAGTGTATTTTTATATAACTTATTTGAGTTTTATATTAACTTTCACGTTTATAATATTAGTAAGTACTATAAAACATAATTACAATACATCCACACAACTTTTCATTCAACCCCTTACTACCATTTTTTTGTACAGAAAAAGGTTTTACAATGCAAAGGCGCATGCAAGGCAGCCAATCTATGGTGTAAGTGCTACTTTGCTGCAACACTCCCACTCCCACCTCACATCACTCCCACTCCCATTCTCACTTCCACTCACACTCCCATTCCCAAAAAGTTAAAGAAGAAAGTTTCATAGTTCTACCTTCAAAAATTACGAATTTCCATACAAACTTTCATCCCCCTTTTCAACACTTAACATCCCTTTTTTGGCATTAAAAATTATTCCTTTCTTAGGATCTAGAATATCTGTGTAGCAAATTTCATTTAAATCGGACAGACAGACAGACAGAGTTCCTTGCGCATTTCTAATATTAGTAGTAAAGTATATGTAGATATATGTATTTCGCACTCAGTACTTATTCTTTTGGTTTGGTTCGCCGCTTCAACTATACATTTGTTTTAGTCGCGAATTCGCATCGCACGTTTATTCGCACGACTGTACCGTGGCCACATCGACGGTGCTACTATGTCATAAGAGTGCATGGTATATAATCCTCATGCATATGGCTTCGAAATCGCTGCAGCTATTGAAGCTATAAACTTTTGGATTTCTCACAGAACATTATCGGGTTCCTGTTGAAAGCGAATTATCTTTTCATCCATGTTATTGGTGTAACGACTCCCTGGCTTACAGCCAGCTTGCAATGGCTTAGAATTTAACAAGGGCTTATTTTCTTATACCGTGAAAATTCCTTTGAGATTTTTCACGGCAGTGCTATAAAATTATATAAGGATTTTAAACACTAACTTGTAGTTAAAAAAAATAGTCTGCGCTTCTTTTGAAATTTTGTTTTAGGTTAGATTTTTATAAATTTACGTAACTTTTCCAAATTTTCCTAAAATTCTTACTTGACGCATACTAAAGTAACCTTATATAAGAATATTATTAGTAAATATATGGAGAATAAATTACAATTAAATATTCCTATCCGATAAAAATAAATTGCTGTTCTTCATTAATATCCTACAATTGGAAACACACCTTTTATCTTTCAAGCGTTCATAAGACTAGATTGAAAAACGATGTTTTTTGATGTTCTCCACGATGTTTTTTTATATTTTTTAATGATACAGGAAAATAGACAGACATGGGTATACACTTGATGGGAGGAAGAATACCTCAGCCATATGTCAAAATATGTTGACAACAAGATATGCTGTCGACTTATTTTATTCTTTGTATATTCGGAAATCCACAGCTTGAAACCGAAACGCGATTAAAAAATATTGACGATCGAGCAATCTATAGATCTATAAACAAATGATTTTGCTAAGCAAGAGTATAAACTCCACTTTGTTAAAATTCTGTAATTTACTTACAAGTCCTTCGTTATGCAGCTCTTCCCACGTCGGGTCACCGCTTGGCTCAACTTCCATAGCACCTTCGTAATGTAATACGGCCACTTGCTTGGCTTTTGTGAATCTATAGAAAATGTAAGAAAATTAAATCGGTACTAATGAGAACTACAATTATATTATATCGTATGAAAATAAAAAAAAATCTTAGGTTTGAAAACTCCTGGGTAGCTCAATTGGTTAAATTAACAGCACGGGACGCTGAAGAAGCTGGTTCAAGTCCTGTTCGAGACGTGATTTTTTAAATTTATAATCGATTTAGACATGGGAAAATTAATAAATATTAAAAAAATTAATTATTTTTGCAAAATGTAACAGGCGTCAAAGACATAATAACTGATGTGTTTCAATACCTCTCATCACAGTCCATGAGTCCACGGAATCGAATCCAGTAATTGTCGATCTCATTGTTGGTTTCCAGCACGAAGTCATAGCGCTCTCCGGCGTATGTCACTAGTGATGTAGCTGTAACAAAAACAAATGACTAAGTGCTATCTTTAAACTATCTACTAACTTACTATCTTCGGCTATATGGTTATTATGGCACATGTTTAGTCATGACAAATTCTCGGTTTAAATGCTGAAAAATATGATAAAAACATCGCCCTTTTCAGCAGAAAACATTTTCAACATAAATTATTTTATAATAAAAATCAGCTCTGTGTTGGTTTTTTTCTGTTTTTGCTAACTAAAGATTAGCAGCTAAAATAAATAACCAAGTCCAATCCAAAATCTATTCCCTTATGTATTCTGTAAAAGTTCCAATACATGGATAAAATGCAAAAATAATAATCTATCTATCTAATAGTTTACTAAGTTTTTTGTGTAGTGTGTTAACATGAACATTTTCTCAATCACGATCCCTTGACCACCGAATCATCACTTCGATAGCTTAACAAACGGATGTATTCAAGATAATATTTTCCCAACATCGTTAATTATCCTCTTTCCCGTACGTTTATATAATCTCCATAGTATCCGGTTACATAATGAAAAACATTGACCTAATCTGACCTGGTTCCGTTGATTAATTGTCCAGAATCATTAACAGAATACAGCCGAGTCATTTTAGCTAATGATCTGTTCGTTAAAATAAATAAAGAAACTAAAAAACAGACATAAAATGTACAAAAAGTAAGCAATTTCAACTGAGTAACTCATTAATGAAACATAAATTATTTTAACACAGGTCTCAAACCCAAGACCAACACCGTAATGTGTTCTGTAACAATATAAAAATGATATATGATTACTTTAATGTAGATAACAGAAAAATTATTTCGCCGGCGGTATTGAACACACAAGATTGGTAGAGCCGTTGCTTTACCAATCTTGGTAATTCAATAATAAATTAATTTCGAAAAAAACTGTAGTTAACGCGTGCAAATACATTTATGACGGTTTAAAATGTGTAATTTATTAGTTGACTTGTTTTAATTTACTTTCATTACATTTCGGGTGCTCTGCAGTAACGTGGTCACGGTGTGCTACTGTTAAAAGTGTTTAGTTAAATTTATAAAACTTAACTTGACTAAAAGTACATAATTATTTATAAGAACGAAAAGGAATTGAAAAAGACATATATGTATGAAACAAAGTAAAACACCTTTCCATTACGCTTATTTCAATGCTATATTTAAATATATTCATACTTGGAAACGATACCAGTCAGTACATTTTAAAGATTCATGAAAGTGTTGGTTCAGCAGAGTACTTAGCTGTACCCAGTTGAATGGGACGAGTACTTCAATTGATTCAAAGGACCCACAAACAGCGATAAAAAAGGTTTTCAACAATTTTATCGAGCAAACGTAATAGTGCCGTGTCGACCAATTATTCGTACGCTGAAATCTATGAATTTTTTAGTTAATTGCATTTTTGGTTGACGGTTGAAATCCGTGCTAATTGGTCGCTATTAGTCGAACGTTTTTTGTTTCGAAATTTCTAACTATATACATATATCTTTACTACATTTATAATATGTATTGGTTTAAACTGTATAAAAAAATACGACTTGAGCAGGACTTAAACCGACATCCACAGCGTTACGTGCTGTTGCGTTCGAGTCAATTTATAATAGATTTTTGTGCCATAATATTAATGGTTTTTAACAATTTACAAATTCTTCCCTTTAGATTTACAAAAAAAAAAATCCAATTCAAATTGTAGCAACCTATGTCTAATAATAATCAACGGGTCGTGACTTGGTTGATGGTGGGTTTAACATGTTTTCAATTAATTTATAATTTCTCTGATGATTTTATCTGTAATCTAGATATTAATTGGAGGATAGAAATATCTTAATTCCGTCCGAGTCACGAAATACCGTCCCCAGATGAAAAGTCTAAAAGTATAAACCGATTCGTAACCGTTTTGGTTTCACGGTTGAAATTGTGTAGATTAACCGATGTATGTGAAAAGTAATAAAATTAATAATCGGTTTTAAGTTCAACCCCATAGATGTCCGATTCTCCAAAGACATAGGTCAACAGTGTATGTTAGATGGAAAGTATATACGTTGTGGATTTCACATAACGTGGGTTCATTGAAAAATTAGATAAAGCCAACATTTGGGTACAACCGGCTGATCTTTAGTATAGGTTCAGTCATTCATAGTAGAAAAGCCTGTACCTACTATACACTATATTAGTAACGAAATAATTACAGTACTTACCCACTCATAAACGGGAATCTAAAAGTTACATTATGTAAGTTTTTAATTCCTAAAACGCCAGTAGTCAGACGAGGACGTTTGGCTCAATTTGAATATTCCGATGAGATCAAAGAGTTTGCCGTTGCTACCAAAATGCTAACGTATTGATGAATATTCGTTCACTGTGTTTTCTAGTTTCGATGTTTATTTAACCAGAAATCTCCTTAACTAAGCAGCCGTGCGGGTTATCTGTCTACCTAAATCCCTGTTTGAAAAGATGATGCGAAAATTTACTTTAAAATTATTTATTTACGTCACGTGTAAAAAACTAAGCAGTTATTTCGTAGTATGCGAAATATTTACGCCGCCTAATTAAGTTAAACACTTCAACGTTTTAAAACGCGAAATATAACAGGTAAACTCATGAGAAAATTATTATAACTACGATGTTTTTCAGCAGCCGTGGTCACTAAAGATGGAGAGTGTCTCTAATGTCAAACTGCTACGCTAGCGCCATTCATTCGATTATAGTTTGTATTTAGCGAAACTGGCCGGATCCTTGCAAAGTTAGCTAACGATGTCTTTAAGAAAATAATTTTCAAATAAGTTTAACTGATATAGTTCGCATTAAAGTGTTTTAATTAAATATGTACTCCTAGCGTACACTACAGACAGTATTAACATTTATTACAGTTCTTAGCGAGGCCTTGTAGCAAGGGTTGGGTATTTTTACCCATCAAACAACACAGCAAGATTTAGTTTTGAACTGCAAAGTAAAAAGTATTATCGGTAGCATTAGTAGATTAAAAGACATTTCTGCATCTGTTTTCCGATCCGTTTTTCTATTACAGCAATTAAATTCTCCGGACCAAACCATGTTTTTCATCTTTACTGGGAATAAGAAACCTCTCGCGCCAAACAGGAAACGAACTGACCCTCGGATATTTTCTTACCCTTAATATTTTCATTCCGCGAATTAATTACGAAAATCTTTGTTCGAAACAAAATGAACCGCACATAAAAACCGTAAAGTAAGATAATGTTCTAGACACAAGTTCAAAGCGATTATCTGTCAAAGGCTGTTTCATAGGCAATTGCTTCAGACCAATGGGCCGTAAAGGTTCGGCTTAGATGTGAAGATTAAGAATTGTTCATTACGAGGAAAGCCGCGTACCTTAGAGCCTTACATAGTTGAAGGTCGGTAACAAAACTACGCAAGTATGAACAAGCAAAATGTGGGGTACCCACCTAACTTCATATATATTATTTTTATTAATATAATAACTAGCGACTTTTTTCCGCTTGGAGTAGATATTTTGCCCTCATTTTTTTTTAAACCTCCTCCTTATCTTTATAAACCTTTTGCCGACGTCGGTCGCGTCCTGTTATTTTTGCGAGTTAATATTATAGTATAATATAGTAACACCTTGTTTTTGAACATTTAAAAAGGATTAATTTGTTTATACAGATAGTTTGGGATCTCATATCGTTTTCGCAGCACACGCAACGGAACTCTCGATAGCTTTTTCCAGTTTTCCCACATTTTCCTCTGTTTCTTCGATCTTATTGATTGCAACTTAATTTCGTATGACTTAAAGCTTTCTCCGACAAATATTTAATCTAACACAAACAAAGATTGTTTAATTCGAACCGGTAGTTCCTGAGATTAGCGTGGTCAAACAAACAAACTCTTTATAATATTAGTATAAATAACAGTAATAATCATCGTCATTTATTTATCAGACCATATATCCATCCTTAAATAACATTCATTATGATAAAGACAATTATAGACGAATAATATCATCATTGTGACGGGAAGCAAGAACTTCATGTCATAAAACGATCAAATGGTTCTTGATCACATTACAGTTGACAGTACCTGCCATACAATGCATTTAAAATGACGTCGGTGCGTATCCAAACTCCAAACACGTGAGAGGTGGAAACCGTCTGTGCGTATTTCCACATTCACACACAAGTTATGTTCTGACCATCCTTAGCTCTGATAAACGTGATCCATTTCATTAAGTAAATATGATGTCGTAGGTTATTCATAAGTCGATTATTTCGGTCACACAGGGCACGGGAGTCTAATTAACTAATCAATTGTTGTAACGGATATAGATTTGTGTTCACCCCATGATCCACAGAAAGAAGGGGGATTTCACCCTTATGTACATAAGAGCATAAATAAAATTGCTGTAGAATTGTTTTCATTGGAAAACTGTAAAAACGCTACAGACAGTAGCTTACGCTAGTAGTAGTCATTTAAATAAGACACTTTAACGGTTTAAACGTGAAATATATTAGTAAAAATTATTTATTTAAATAAAACACTTTAACGGTTTAAAACGCGATATATTAGTTAAATTTTTATGAAAATGATAAAGAGCCGTAGTTAAAAATCATTTTGGAATAAGTTTAAGTAATATATCGCGTTTTGAACCGTTAAAGTGTTTTATTTAAATGTGTACTACTCGCGTAAACTATAGACAAAAATTATTTACTAATTATTTAGTATTTACAATAATTCGCAAATAAGTTTAACATATATATTTCGCGTTGTAAACCGGTAAAGTATTTCATTTTAATGTTTATGAAAAGGCAAAATCTTTAATTATTTTAGTTTAGTTGAAATAGAGAATATCATTGTTTTTCAATTGTACTAATCTTTAAAACTACTACAAATGTTTGTTTAGACATTGAACGCCCAACATCTTTTGATGATTTCATCCAGTTGTGACAGTGAAACTTTTAGAACAGCACTCAACAATCAATTACGACCCACTTTCAAAAACCATTCATACATAATATTTTAAGGTTACATTATTGTCGTCTTCATTTTGTAAAATTTTTAAGGTTTATTATATAAGAAATGATGAACTCATCTAAAGGTTTGATATAACCATTCGCTATTCAAATTTATTCCCGTTCATAGTATCACATCCGCTTTGCATCTGGCCGGGGTTTTCAATTAAGTGACTTGCTTTTTTTGCCCGAACACGATACTGAACGCTTACAAAGTACAATGGGAATTGCTAATTTCTCTTAGTGCAAAGGAATGCGATAGATTAGTGAGCTTTTCAGTTCCAGTTTGTGTTTGCTCTAAAATCGAGGTAAATTCCCACTTCGACCTTTCCCACTATAAACGTGTCAACGCTGTTTATTTAAGTGAAACTACATTTATTTCGAATTAAAACGAACAATAATGTATGCAAATAATGTTTGTGAAATTCCGTTTCCCCTCGTGGGGTATAGGGCGAACACATTTCTGTGTCCGTTTCACTGATCGGTTTTATTTACAGGCAAGGAGTTGGTCAGACTTCTATGCCCTGCCTTGACCAAAACAATTTACTGTTTCCCCGGGATTCAAACCCAGGACCTCTCACGCTCAACGCAATGCTAGACAAGACGTTAAACCATTGAGCTTTAGGAGCAAACAATGTAAGTTTTGCGTTTTTTTAACAAAACTTTTCCATATATAAGTCAATTGTCAACATAAAACAACATGGCGACTTTTCCTATACTTTCCATTTTACTTTACACTCTGTTTGCAATTGTCAATAAGGGTAAATTAAATCTTTATTTAATCAAATAAGCCCCTATTATTTTAATGTTATTATAAATCTCTTTATTTGGCATTAATTTATTAATTTCATTAGTAATAGTAGTAGAAATAACTGTAATTACAATAAGATAATTAATACCATAAAATTTAATTTAATTTAAAGAAACTGATTAAAGACACTGATTTTTAACAACACTCATACAACCATAATATTGGCTTACAGACGAACAGTATTGCCATACAAATTATACAATTTACAATTTTTGAATGAACTTTTATAATATTACCTATGCCTGGCTATTTCTCCCTATTACCGAACCCAAGATCTTCTTCAGTCACAAAGCATTAATCACTGATCCACATATTAATATTATTTAATTGAAGTGGTATTTAAAGGCTTACTTTTTTATGACTTCTGAAAAAGTTAATACATTATTTTTAGTGTAACATTTAAGAGAAACTTTGCTCAAAAGTTTTGAGTAGGCTTTTAATTTTTGACAAAACGTTGACGTGCTAAACTGTTACCGACATAGTTAGACGTCAAAGACAATAAAAACTTATAGAGAGTAATTTGTTGACAGAGGTTAACTTTCTGAAGTAACAAGAATAATATATGTCTCATAAAAGACAGTACGTACTCATTACACTACAGTGATAATGACATTTATAAATAAATAATAACATGCTATAAAAAAGAAATAATACTTTAATCGACAGTTAATACCTAAAAATTATTTTAACACGGAAGTGACGCCATTATTTTGTTATTCAAGTTTATTAATGGAATAGGTAATAAGGGGAAATCCCCCATCATTTAGCAAGTTCAAACATGGAACTTTTAATTATAATACTTGTTCTGCGTGAAATTGCAACAATGAAAGAGACATAATGACAATGCACCGAATTTGCATACGCTTAACAATGGCTCGCGCATTGGCGACATTTTGAATAAGGCTGCCACGCGGTAGTATTATGCTTGCGAAAGTATGGTATTACTGGAAATTTATTAAACTGTATTCGTGTGGAGAGTTAAATTCAGTTTTAATAAGGGCATAAGAAATGTCGTTTGGGGGTAAGGTGTCCATACGATAATGGGGCGAAACAATTAAATATCATTCCGTAAGGTTCGAATCTCGGACTGGAATATAATCTAGTAAAAAAAGGTTTAAAATGTAAAGCTGAAAATTCCCCGAAAGAGAGACAGCGCTTATAAGCGCTTACACATCAAGGTTTTTTTTTTTAATTAACTAAGCCGTTTCAGCGATATCGTGTACTTAACATGCATTTGAAGCAGCATTAAATCTAGGATGTAGAGTAACTTACCAGTAATGGGCACTAGATCGTAGCCATCAGAAGATATGATAGTGATATTGTGACCATCCACCGACATCTCGATAGGACAATTGAGGAATTCGGCGTTGATCACACGAAAACGATACTTGTAGCCCTAGAAATAGAATTGAGTATTATTATTACGATTGACGGTGTCGTTTTACATTAACATTGACAGCCTGTCCTGGACAAAAAAGATGTAATTTTCCTTGATGAAACGCCGGGTCATAATGAATATTTTCAAATGATTTCTTAATAATTTACATTAAGTTTATTACATTACATTTATATAACTACGGCCCGACGTTTCGACAGCTTTGGAGCAGTTGTGGTCACGGGGAGACTAAAGATAGAAGGTATCTAATGTCAAAGTAAAAACTGCTACGCTAGCGCCATCTGTTCCGTCGTTTTTTTACGTTTAGAAGTATTTAATATTTAGAAATGTCATCTCTCACCTGTTCAACATTAAATCTGGCTGTCTTCATATATTTGGTCTTGGCACTGGTGTCATTAAAAACCCGAAAGCGTCCAACACCATTCACAAGGAGTGTTGGTGGTTTGTTGTCACCCGATGAGTGGTGATGATCGCTGAACATCCCAATTGAGAGATCGTGAACCCAATCCGTTATCAGCATCACGTGGTCGGACCTGATAAATAAACATATTAATCAAATCATTTATTCCACACACAAAAAATAACAACAGAACACAATAAAATAAATAATAAAATAGATGCACGTTTAAATAAAACACTTTAAAGGTTTAAAACGCGATATATTAGTTACACTAACTATAGACTGTATTTAATAGATATATATGTGAGAAAAACCGTCTGCTTTTATTGTATCTGAAAGTAGGCACAAAGATTTTCAGTGATGCCCCACGCTTGACATTTGATGTAGAACTGTACATATAGACCAAAATATACCGCAAAATGTGTTACATTGAAACAATTCAAAAAAAAAAAATATCCCAAAAATACATATTAAATTAACGACTATACTGATAGACTCTCGTGATGAACTAATTAGAACGGACATATTTCTGTGTTTGAAATACTAGAAAAGATTAAGTAATTAATATTAAAAAAAAGATATATGATAATGTTTTTGTTACGTTTAAACTCAAATTCAAATAAAGTACTAATCTTTCAAAAACCTTAACAGATAGTTAATGGGGCTAACTAGCATTTGTGTGTGAAGCTCAGCGTTTGAATCCAGGAAAAACTTGTAAAATATGTTTCAAGTGGGAAAAACATTAAAAATACCCGTTAATTTTGTTCTTAAAGCGAAGTTTTTACGAGAGATATCAAAGGAAATGGGAAAATTGTATTTTTTTTGTAATTAAAACTTTTTCAAGAGTAATAAGAGCCTTCTTGTCTATAGCTTAGTGGTATTATCTTGGTAATTATTTAATCAATTCTAAATTTTTGTTTGCAATCAGTCCCCAGTAAATATCGGGGAAATATGTCAGGTTAGACAGGGCACAAAAATTTGATAAAAAGTTGCAAAGCATGTATTATTTACGTATTGTGCATTTGTGTAGTTAACATTTTACTTTCCTAGCAGACATTCAACATCTTATTATTTCTAATGATTTTTGAACATATAATATAGCTACATTAGTGCTACGTTTCCCCCCGTAGTCCATGGGGCTAACACATTTCTTTGTCAGTAATATTTACAAGCTAGTTGATCAGACTTCTACGACCTGTCGAAACAATATATTGGTTCCCCGGGATTCGAACCAAGGACCTCGCAACACGTTAAACCATTTAGCTCAAGAGGCGATCTAGCTATTTAGCTATAGTAATAATAATAATTCATGTATGGCTAATGATCAATGGGCCGTGGGTTCAAATTTTTCCAAACATGTTAATAATTTTTCAATTTATTATTTTTCTGAAACATGCTGAACTTCGTTTGGAAAACTAGATATTAAATGGGTGGTAGGAATATAGAAATTCCGTCCGGGTGACGAACCAACGTCCACAGATGAAAAAGCCGTTAAGCGTAATCGCGTTTCGGCTTCAGTCTGTAGATTTCCGAATATCTAAGGCCAAAAAACGTTTTTTAGATGCTATAGGCTGTAATATATCACCTACCACCCCATGCCATCTCTGTCCTCCTCTATCATTAAAAAAAGTAATATTTTATAAAAAAATCTAATATGAATGAACTAGGATAATTATTTGAGTCTTGGTAATAGATATCACGTGAGAGTAGTTGCGCTTATAAACCGGTAACGTTTCCCGCCAACGCACGTGATTCTCTTGGGCAAGCTAAACACGTAATATTGTGTAATAAATATGCGTTTAATTAGATTCTCTCAAGAGCGTTTCTGAGAAATATTTAATTCTCATTTAAACGGTTTGACATGCGAAATATTTTTTTGTAGAATAAACGGAGTATTGCGAGTGTTCACTTCATTCTTTAAATCAGTATTAAATTACTTAGATTTTTTAACATAGAGAAGGATAGACAAATAAAAGGTTCACTTATAGGGAGGTTAAATACCTTAGCTATATATTTATTTATTCAATCATAAAAAAAATATATAATACCTACAATTTTCCAGAGAAAGTCCAATATTCAAGTCAGTTCAATATTTTAGAAACATTATAAATTAAAAATACGTTAGACACGGTGGAAATCGAACTCACAACTACTTTACTACTTTATCAAATAAACGGTTCATTCACCCAAAATCCCACGATTTATGAGTTTCTTGTGAACTGCCCTTTATTGAAACATCCTTGTTTTTTGTTTATTATTCAATCAATATAAAACACGCGTTGATGTCGTTTCCAACCGGATTCTGACGTAATAAAGCATCCAACCAAATTTGCATTAGCAAACATAGTATAACCAGAAGTGTAATTTAATAAGCTAAGCTACAATTATTTAAATAAAATAACTTTAGTTGTTTGTTTTTAGAATTACTTGCATTATATTATAACAACAATGATGTAAACTAATGCAGGTGTAGACATACATATTCAGACCGTATACTTTTTTCACTTAGTAACTTCTTACAACGAAAGTAACGGGTTCGTTGGTGTAATGTAAAGCTACTAAACGGGTCGATGGTTCGATCCCCACTGTTGGCAACATGGAAAGGGTGGTAGGAATATCGAAATCCCATTCGGACCACGAACACCCGTCCATGTTAATCGCGTATTGGTTTCAGTCTATGAATTTATGAATGTCCAAAGCCGAAATAGGCCAACAGTGTTATAAGACCGGGGTATTTCATTGATCTTCAAGTAAAACCAATGCCTGTCATTCTCTATCGTTAAAAAAAAAATGTGCGCCGCCGCGGGCCCCCCGGGGGAAGGAAAACCCCCCCTTTTTTTTTAAAAAAAGGGGGGGGAAAAAAAAATTTGGGGGGGGGGGAAAAAATATTTTTAAAAAAAAAAAAAAAAAATTTTTTTTTTTTCCCCCAAAAATTTTTTTTTTTTTTATAAAAAATTTTTTTTTTTAAAAAAAAAAAAAACCCCCCCCCCCCCCCCCCCCCCCCCCCCCCCCTTTTTTTTTTTTTTTTTTTTTTTTTTTTCCCCCCCCCCCCCCCCCCCCCCCCCCCCCCCCCCCCCCCCCCCCCCCCCTCTTTTTTTTTTTTTTTTTTTTTTTTTTTTTTCCAAAAATATATTCTTCTCTAAAATAATGACATTTTTGATCAAGATTTTCATACTACTTGTTAATTGATGTATTTACCATATTTTATTATAAGATCTAATGAAAGCTTCACTTTTCTATTTACTCTATTACCTGTCCTGTATAACGGAACTCATAATAAACATGATTCAGACAATTTACGATGTCACCGGACCGATCACGTGAATTTAAAGGTGTCCTTATTTAGGAAACCGGAGTTTTATTTATGTAAAGCTAGTTTTTGGTATCCTTTTAAATACGCGATGTTAATATATTCATTATATTTAAGTGCATACCTTTGGACAACTTCCGGTTCTCCGTGGTTGAGCACGTTACTTGGCTTTCATTTAAGCACTGAAATGGAGAGATTGGGTTCGAATCCCGGGGAATCCTTACAATTTTAATAGTATTTGCAATGAATATCACTATAGGAGTTCTATCGTCTATAATATTACCTGATGGCGATGAATCCTCTTATACACATTACAATGGACGTTGGTTTAATGGTTACAAAGTATTGCTAATAATCAACGGGTAGTGATTTCGCTCCCCACCGGGTCTAACATACTTCTAATAAAGTCATAAATTTTCTGAGACATGTTAGACTTTGTCTGGAAATCTAACTATTAAGCGGGCGGTAGAAATACCCGAAATCCCGTTTATGTCACAAAACACCAAGATGAAAAAGCCGCGAAGTTGGATCGAGTTTTGTTTTCAGTCTGTGGATTTGCGAAGTCCAGAGCCAAAATAGGTCAACAGTGCAACTTGTGCAGATGTTATATGGCTGTGGTATTTCGCCTATCATCAAGTGCTTGTCTGTCCTCCTCTATCATAAAAAAAAAAACATAAGTTTACCAAGCCTTATCAACCGTATAACAAACCTGTCATAGTCGTATAAGGGGCCGTGTGGTTCTTGAGATTTCGGTTTCCTTACAATTAAGGGACCTGCCGCACCATCAGCACGCTGCATACCAGAATGGGAGTGCCAGAAGTGTGTGCCAGCTTGCGTCGCATTGAATTGGTACCTAGAGAATTAGAGCTATAAGATAAACCTTTCGGTCAAGCTAGATCTAGATATGAGAATACAAACATCATGGAAATTCTAATATTGAAACTAATGAAAAAAAATAATTTTATCTTTGAAAACTTTAATAATGTCTTTAGTTTACGCAAGTAATACACATTTAAATAGAACACTTTAACGGTTTAAAACGCGATATATTAGTTAAACTTATTTAGACTTTAACTATGGGCCGGTGTTTCGGATGCTTTGTAGCAGCCGTGGTCACGGGGAGTCGACCGCTTACCACGAAAATAATTTTCACATAAGTTTAACTATTACCTATATATATCGTGTTTGAAACCAGTAAAGTGTTTTATTAAAATAAAATAGTATATTTTATCTTATATTGAAAAATGTATTTAAGAAAACCATAGTATCTATATCATAGATCGCTAAAGATAATCTTTATGAAAACAGTTACAGTTCTACAAACCTAAAAGTAGTTTCCGGCAATATAGGGCACTGTGTGATGTACGGCGTGCCGTCCATGTAGTTCGTGCCGCGCTGATGCTGTCCGTGCCAATGGACAGTTGTCCCTTCCGTCATGAGGTCATTCTCCACGTCAACTATTATTCGGTCATATTGACATACCTTAAAAAAATGTTTTCTATAAGAATTATTTGAAGTAGTACTTACAAAAATCGATAACTAAATATTTAGAAATGATCAAGGTACAGTTAGGAATTAGTTCCTATGAATTTAGTGATGAAAGAAAAACTAATTGAAGCATTTATAGATCGAAATTCAACAATCACGAGACTCAAAGTTACGATCAAAATACTATGAGCTTAGTAAAGTACAGATGTAAGTAAGTAAATGAAAAAAGACCATGTTAATACACAAATTAATCTATATTAATATTACAAAGGTGGAGAGTTATTTGTTTGAACGCGCTAATCTCAGAAACTATTGGTTCGAATTGAATAAATGTCTGTTTGCTGGAGCATTGTACGAGGAAAACTTTAGGCTACAAAAATCATGCTGCGACCAATAGAAACGAAGAAACACTGAGTAATGTAAAAAAATATAGAGGAAATAATTCTTTAAGGGCGTGCTCTGTGAAAACAGTACAACGAACCCAAAAAATTGTATCAAATAATAATTCCTCTTTAAATAATTTTAAAAAAGTCCCCAACAATGTATGTCTATCTTTTAAAATTAACTCAGATCAACTATTTTTACCAAATTAACCAAACTAACGTTTGATATCGTATCCAACGTTTAAAAAATATCTATTCCAATTTGTACTACTCAAACAAAAGTCTAAATTAAATTATTCATATATATCGCCTCTTACCAAGTTAAACCATGAAGAAATTAAGCAAAAAGTCGTAGGCAGGAAATTATTAAAACAAAATCCACTTAATTTAGTTCAGGTGAACAAAAACGTTAATTGCGTTAACACTTAACACATATAGAATTATGTTTTAAGTGTCTGACTCATTGAAAAGATCCACAGTCATTCAAATGTTAATTCAGCTTTAGTAAAAATGCGGATTTTTAAATACAAATGTAGCAACGAAATTCTCTAGAAATTCAAGGAATTTTAATTAATGACTGAATCCGTCCAATATTAATACTGATTACATTCTGGATAACTTCTGATTATTATGGATTAAAATTAAATAGAATAAATTAATTGTTTATCTCTTGTCTTATAACCCGATATTCGTAAAACATTTATTTAAATCACATTAAAAAAAATACATATAGGTTTAATGAGAAAAAAATGTTGATATCTTCTGTTACACTTATACAGATAAACTGTTGCTTGTGCGAGTAGAACAAATTAAATAAAACACCATTAACGGTTTAAAACGCAAACAGTAAAATATGTCGTGTTAAATATATTAATAAATAATTTTATATATTAAATACACTTCAAAAATTGAAATGTTAACAGGAGTTTTGATCGTTTAGAAAGTGATTCAAAACAAATATACCGCGTTTTAAACCATTTCAATGTTTTATTCAAAGTACTTTAAATTACACAATTTTTAGGATCTATTGGTATCTTTTTAAAGATCTGGGAAGTCCTTTAAATTTCTAAACTTATTTTTCAATAACCTTATTTAACTCATACATACCTCTATAGCGGGTCCGGGCATCTTCCTATTTATCACAGTCAAAGGTCGACTGATACCATCGGCTGGTATACAATCTATTCTGTCACAATCCGTCTCATTGTATGGGCAATCGTAACAAGCCTTGCTCATGGTCATATACAACTCCAAACTGAAGTGATAATAACATATCATCGGTTCTTCACCTTCCTTACAGTCTCTGAGACAAGGGTGATCACCGCTAATCAGTTCACCGGTTACTTCATCATATTGCACGTGAGTTTTATACTCATTCTTTACTACCCTCGGTTTTGTTTCTTCTACTATTTTAGTGGAGAGGGATGAATTTCTCCTCTTAACTTGATATTTTAAATCGTTGAATTCATTTGATACAACTGGTAGTAGGACTCTTGAAGCACTCTCTAGAGGTTTTGGTGTATTGTCTAGAACTTTTACATTGGCTGTATCGGTGGGATTTGTGTCTTCATTTCTTGTATCTTGCGCATTTTGAATGTCAAAACTTGCTTCGTCTGCTGGTGGTCGTGTGACGATTTCTTTCGAATCTGAAACAAAATGATATTTATATCTATTAATTTATTATCATATTTAACGGGTTAAAACGCGAAATAAATTAGTAACTTGTGTAAACTACAGAAAATATTAAAAAATCTAAAATATCTTTTTATTATACAAGATTCGATTAAATTTAAATAAAAAGAAGTTTGTCTTAAAACACTTTAGTGATCTACAAGTCGTAATAACTGATTAACAAAGTATATATTTAAAATTACATTCTGCTTGTCACATTAAATTCTAAGAACTTACGTAAAATTTATTGTTACTGTTACAATAATTAGCTTGACTAATAAGAAAACTGACAACTGATAAATAAATCACTAACGTGACTTAATTTACTATATGTGTATGTATCTTTGACTATTTATTATCTGTTGTTGTGTATTGGAACTTTATTGCTTGTAAAGTAAGTACTGAAAATGTATGTCAGAATAATTTAAACTAGTCTTAGAATTATTATTATTAAACGTTTGTCTATATACAATGGGTTATCTAAGACATGTGTTATTATACCTTATTTATATTTTTTAACTGACAAATTTTACAATCTCAATAAGATACGTATTACATTTTTGACACTAGTTGGACTAGAATTCACGACCATAACGTTCCCTGCTCTACCAATAGCACAAGTTATTTTTTGTCTTAAACCAGTTTTAAGCTTAACCATTGCATATTGTAATTAAATTTACTATAATATACTAATTCATTTAGTATTTAAAAAATAAGGTTTCTAAAATTAATTCTACTTTTATTAAAAACGATTTAAAGATAGATTCGTTCTATAACTTAATCATAAATATTAGCGTCTATGCTAACCTCTTAACGAATTTTGTACTTATTTTTTCACAACTATGTAAGAACCCATCACAAGTTTTTTCTAAAATCCAAATAGTACTTGAAAGAAACGTCATTTGATGATCTAATCAAGTCATTGGGAGGCGGATGTCTTTGCCTAATAAAATGGAATGTATTTCTAATAATTCCTTAATTTAATAACAAAACGTAAAGAAAGATCGTCTCATGGAAAATATCTCTATTGTCAAATTAATATCTTATTACTGTAAATACAGTTAATAATTACGCGTCAACATAAGTATGGTATTCAAAAACAATCTTTTTGAATTAAAACTATTTATATAAATTAAAAATAACACCAGTGTAAATACTGCCTGCAGATTATGCGAGTAGTACACATTTAAATAAAACACTTTAACGGCTTAAAACGTGATGTATATTAGTTAAACTTGTTTCAAAATTATTTTAACTACGGCCTTACGTTTCGGAAGCTTTGCAGCCGTGGTCACGGGGAGACGGTCACCAAACGTCGGGCACGTAGTTAAAATAAATTTCAAACAACTAACAAATTTATATTGCGTTTTAAACCGTTAAAGTGTTCTACTTAAACACCCGTGTAATTGAGAAAAAACCCATCTAAGTACCCACCTATGCTGACAAAGAATTGAAAATTCTTATACGTAAATATAGAAACTCCCACACCATACAAACATCAAAACGGGCCAAAGGTCCGGGTGAAATTACTTCACTAGTCACCCTTCAAATTGTTTCCATAATAAGGGTTTTAACAAAGACTGAAGCAGGTATGAAAGTTCATCCCGTAAAATACCTGCGCGGAATTGAAAATGAAAAAGGTATTGTCCAAAGGGAGCTTAATATTAAGATTAATAGTTTTAGATGAATATTAAAATACATATTTGATTAAGCTCAAATTCAAACGTAGTTATTAAACATTGTTCTCCACTATATTGGAATGAAAAAGGTCATTGTGAAACGGGCTTTTTGATCTGATGGTAGTATCAATGCGCCGTAGCTTCGATCTCCACCGGGTCCAAAGTATTTTGTATTTAATTTATAATTTATCTATCTTTTCGTTTAGATATCGGGATATTACATTGTTGATAGGAATACCAGAATTCCTTCTGTCATGAACCACTGACCACAGATGAAAATGCCGTGGAGAATAATCGCGTTTCAAATTCAGTCTGTGGATTTCTACTATCAAAAAACAAAAACAGGTGGAAATCGCATTTAGTTTAGATGTTATATGACGGGGGTATTGCATTTTCCATCGAGTGAACCACATGCTTGTCTGTCCTCTATCAAAAAAGATATGAATGAGAATTTGTAAATTCAAACTAATTACTAATTCTATACAGTTAGGCGTTTCTTTGCGACACTTTGTCAGAGCCCCTTCATGGAACAAAAAACTCTTCCGGTTTAAAACGCGAAGTATATTTTATTATTGTATGTATGCATTAATTTTAAATTTAATTTTAATTACGCGACGTTTAGGATGCTTTGCAGCAGCTGTAGTCATGGGGGGCCTGAAGATGGAGGGTATCCCTAATGTCAAAGATAAAACTATAAACTAGTTGGTATTTGATGAAGTTGCTTTCTGTCAGGACCCGGCCAGTTTTTTAATATGTTTCGTGGTTGAATCCGTTCAAAATGTTTTGTATAAAACAATCAATTAATTATGTCGAATGTATAGTAAAATTATAAAGCTGATGAGTTAGTTTGTTTGAACGCGCTAATCTAAGAAACTACTAGTTCGAATCGAAAAATTATTTTTATGTAGAATAATCCATTTATCGAGAAAGCCTAAAGGTAGTACAACATCACGTTGTGACTAATATGAGCAAAGATACAGTGGGAAATATAATTCTTCTTTAAAAGAGACTAACTTGCAAGGACGTGAGCACAGCTAGTCTAAAATAAAAGCCATGAGCAAATCTTTGCCATGATTTCCTTTTGGAAGCCGAATGTAGTTTGACAGTGTCCTGGTATCAGACAAAATAAACGTACGTTAGGCCATTCAACGTCCAGAATTTAGAGTGCACATCGTAACAATCAGTCGTATCCATGAGCGTTTCAACTCAGCCGAAATGGGAAGGATTATTGAATTTAGCCAACACCGTTTGAAATGTTTCCGTTCCGAACAAAGAGAACGCTTATGGCTATTCTAACTCGAGTTTCATTTGGCATCTGTTATATGATTCCATCGCTTGCCGATCCTTCATCAAACGTGTTTGGGAAAATAAATACTATTGTATACTGATGAAGGTTTTAGGTGATAAAAAGATAGTGATAAAAATAAAGAGGAGAAGTAGACGTCCTATGGTAGGAATTCTGATAGACTAAAGATTAACGCTTATCTTCTAGATCTTCTTCATGGAGTTGACTATATCATTTTATTCACGGGCTCCTTGATCTGATGATAGCATAGATAGATCCCCACTGGGTCCAGCATTTTTAATATTTTTTTGAAACACGTTGGTCTTCGTCTGGAAATCTGGATACGTGGGTGGCTGAAATATCGAAATTCCGACCGGGTCACCGACGTCCATAGATATAAGCCGTGAACTTAAATCGCGATGTCAGCCTGTGGATTGTCGACTATCTAAACTTATTGAAATATTTCACGGCTGGGGTATTTCAGCTTCGATAAAGTGAAACATATGCTTTTCTGTCCTCCTCTATTTAAAAAAGATTTTAGTCCTAGCATTGCTTATATATTAGTACTAGCTGCGTTAGCGACTTCGTCCGCGAGAATCGTTATTTTAGGTATCCAAATGGGTTTTCGCAAACACTTCATCTTTATATACTTAAACTCTTACTTAAAGAATAATTTCCCCATATTTTTTCACATGACTCAATGTTTCTTCGCTTCTATTGGTGGCAGCATGATGTTTTATAGTCTAAGTCTTCCTCGATCAATGCTCCACCACCAAACAAACAAACGAACTCTTCAGTTTTATATATTAGAATAGATATTCCATTAAAGTACATTGGTCATAGGGTTGTGTTAAGTGCAAAATGTTAAACTAAAAAATAAAAAAACGTTGCTACGAACAATATCCACAATTACCTGCAGAAACACTAAGCCTACGTACACCCCTCGTGAGCGCGTTGTTATCTCTCCAAAAGAAACTCGGTGAAACAATATGGGGACCATGGAGCTTACAAATTGCTGAATAAACCGAGCAAATAGACGCACTTCCATCGAGTGTCGCGTCACAGTCTCTACACTACCAATCAGGCTTGTACAGAGTTGTTCAGCTTAATAGTAGCATTCGTCTTCTATGTAGGCGGATTGAACAGTTTTGGTACTTTCCACGCCGCACACACATCTCTATTCTGTTTTATTTGGATCTTGATTTAAACTAGGGTGTGAGGTGCGAAATCGAAGAAACGTTCTATACAAGAAACAATTTATTTTCAACAAACTAACTAACAACACTCTTGGACATACTTATGAGTATTTTGTGCAGTTTGCATATAGTTTAAAACACGAAATTTATAAGTTTATTTATGTCAGCCGTAGCCACTGCAATTAGTTAAATATTATTAACGAAATTAAGCCATTCAAGGGACTAAAATGAAGCCCCAATCTTAGATGATTTAAGACATTTAGGTATGAATAAATGAAAATCTGTTTCCCCTCGTGGGGCATGGGACGACACATATCACTGATCGGTTTTATTTACTGGCAAGTGGTTGATCAGACTTCTGTTTTATTGATTTATTCCCCGGGAATCCAACCCAGGACCTCTCGCGCATAACCATTTAGCTACAAAGGGAGTAAAAAATGATTATGCAGTTGTTTAAAAAAAAAAACAGACTATCGCCTTTAAAATTGTAAATTATTGTATTTCAGTTCCAACAAACTGTCTGCTTGAAATTGGTCCAAGAAACTTCGGTACGTCTTTAACTTCTGCTAACTTACACAAATTTCATTCCTGGCCCGCTGTTTGTCACCACAGAACTTAAAGTGGGTCAGGCATCGAATATATTTCGTTTTAGTGCATTTAACTTGAGAATGCGATTAGAAAAAGTTGACAAAGAACAATGGCCAAATTTGTATAGGTACTGTACCCGACTCAAACTTTTTGCGAAATCATAAAGGGTTGATTTTTCTTTGATATATTAAATACCACTCTAAAATATAATTTAAAAAGCCAACATAATTTATTATAGTCAAAAAAGTTTGGGTCGCTGCGCCAGCGGAGTAAGTAAAACATTTTTGGGGTTAGAATCATTGAAAAATTTAATTACTTATTTTTCAACTGCAGTAGTGATCAAATTAACGAGCTTTTTTATTAAATATATAAATACATTTTAATACGTATCAAAACAAAGGCAATATAACAATTATCAGTCGTGTATCAGTGATCCGAAATGTCAATCGATAGCGCGTCGATGACGCATCGTTCCGTTACACGCAAATGGTCAAAATATTTTAACTTGCTCTTTACAAAAAAATTACAATAAATAAATATAAATAATAATTATATATTGGACGTTATAGATTTATAACGTCCAAGTATCTAAAGATAAATTCGATATGCGAACTTTAGCGATACTTTCTATATAAATAGATTTAAAAATATCATATTTGGCAAAAAAATCATATCTTTTTTTGGTTTTTATTATAAGATCTTATTAATATTTACTTGATCTATTTTATCTGGTCACTGGTTTTATAAGGCACGATTTGGCAGCTGTTCTTTAACCACACCAAGCTCTACTCTTCAACAAAATAAATCTAAAATTTCGCATCTAATATGTAAATGATGGATTTGACGTATGTTAATAAAGACTCTTTGGCGTTAATATAGACTACGCTGTAACTTTATTAAGATTGATGAATATGTTCTCGAAGGGAGAATGCTGGTGTTATGTTTTGGGTAATTTTTATAAATGAAGAGGTAATGTACGTTTTATCATAATAATCTCAATTTTGTGAAATTCTGATATCCGTACATTTTTCTGTGTTTATGTCACTGATCACTATACAAGCACGTAGTTACTCAGACTGCTGTGCCCTGTCAGGCAAAACAAAAGGCAGGCCAGACAACGTTTAACCTTTAAAGCGATAAAGTGGCACGAAGTCAATTTGAAATTTTCATATCTACTATACTTCTTTACATAATATATAATTAAAATACAATAAAATCTTAAAATAATATAAATAAAATACAACCCTCTAACGCTAAGAATCACATTAGTTATACACTTTTTAATGGTATAAAACGCGAAATAAATTACTTAACATATTTTCTATTAAATATGTTAATTAATACAAAAAAAAATAAAAAAATAATGTTAAAAGTAATTTATTTAAATGTGTACTACTCGCGTAAACTACAGATTTGTTTATTTGGTCAAAATGAAATACTAATATAACGTAATTTCGCACTATATTGTTAAAATAACACCATTTACGTAATCTAGACCGTCGAAACACCGAATCAGTTCGCGTAACAAATATCGATCGTCAAGTATCAAAACTTCGCATTCGCGTGTTAGTTTTCGCAATCCACGTCGCGAAGTATGTGCCCAATCCGGGATGGATTTATCAAAATTATTTCGCTATTACGAAATAAATTCCACTCAGGCTCCAGGGATCAGATTTCAGATCGGGTTTTGACTCTTTTAGGGACAATACAATGAATAAAGCGATGAAATTATTAGATGTAGGTTTTAGTTTGTCTGAAGTCGTCACTTCATGTTCGATGTTTATTTCGACAGAAAAATTGGTAAATTAATTATTTTAATTTACCATTCTTATCTTATCCATCACATCATGGGGTAAAAATAAATTGTACATAGGTTTAAAAATAAAAAGGTTTTATATTACAATCCACATGTATAATAATTAAAATAAGATAATAATTACGAATATCGTTATTATGTCTTTATTCATTTTAAGATTACAAAAGTATCATACTTAAACAAGTATTCATAGAACATTCAATTCAAAGAGTAGAATATTTTAGTTAGCAACTCTACAACATGTTCTGCTACGCTAAAGTTAAAGGTAAAATTTCCAGCTAATAGTAGTTTTAATAACGAAAGACTTTAATAAAAGTTATAGATTTTTTTTTATTAAATACTGTCTATAGTTTACGCGAGTAGTACACGTTTAAATAAAACACTTTATAGGTTTAGAACGCGATATATTAGTTAAACTAATTTGAAATTACGAGTCTCCCCGTGACCACGTCTGCTGCAAAGCATCCGAAACGTCGGACCGAAGTTAAAAATCATTTTCAAATAAGTTTAACTAATATGTCGCGTTTAAGCCGTTAAAGTGTTTTATTTAAATGTTATTATTGTTATATAAGTAAAACATACGACCTGCCAAAAATTACGACTAATGCTGCGTATTTAAGCCTCTAATTTAATAATTAAGTCACATTTTTGAGTCTAATTATTTCTGATGATAATCGTAAGAGATTATATACATTTAATACTGTCTATAGTTTACACGAGTAGTACATATTTAAATAAAACACTTTAACGGTTTAAAACGCGATATATTACTTAAACTTATTTGAAAATGATTTTTAACTTCGGTCCGACGTTTGTATGTAACGTAAACAGTAGTCGAATTTCCAAACGCTGTAGGTCGGTGTTGGGAAACGTTACATCACTGCCATAAATTCTTAAATGTTAATAAAAGTTTAAGTTCAAATTTTCCGAAAAGCAAGCTTATAAATATAATATTCAATGATCGTTTTGTGTCGTTCATAATTTTAAATGCCTAAAATTTTAAACTAAACTTTTTCAGTAATCCACTATTAAAGAAGCATCTAATTTACTTTATAATTATTTCGTAAAATATATGAAAGCAGGTGGTTAGTTTAAGGGTTTAAAGTAATTCACTGCGCATCCTTTGAAACATTGAAATTTCGAATGACGTATAAAATTACTGCCCTTACAAATTTCCGAGGTTACATATAAATATTCTTCATTTCAAAAATATTCATTAAATTACTTACATACAGTGACCGCAAATGCTAGAAGTAAAACTTTTCTTGTCAAGCTGTAAGCCATTTCGATGGTTTCTGCAACAAAAAGATATATTAGCAGCATCTGAAAATGTTTAAAGGTTAGTTATACCAAAATTATCAAATAAAAAAAATGCTTATGTGCAAGAGATGTAAACTTCTTTAAATAAAACACTTTTAACGGTTCTAAACGCAAACATTAACTTATGCCGTGGTACAGGTTCATTTAAGAAGTTAACTGATATATATCGCCTTTTAAACCGTTTAAAATGTTTTACATAACTACCTAACATAATATGTATATACATAATAACAATTCCAAAATGGCAAAGATAAGCGTTTAATCTGATGTAATGGTTCCCCATCAACACTTCGCCCTCAATCAATCGCGTGTTGCTCGACATATTCATGACACAGCGTCATTGGAACAGTAAGGGCTCTGGGGGAACGCCAGAACCACAACTGTAGGCGACACTGTAACTGGTTTATTTCACTTTACGTTTAAAAAATTGCTTTATGAAGATGTAATTAAAACAAGAAAAAGCAAGCTTAACTTTGATTTTCAGTTATATTTGATTCTTATTTAATTATATATTTTGAATGAGGGGCTTTACACACTTACAAATTCCTGTAACATATATGAATATACATATACTATATCAATAGTACATATGATACAGATTACCGAATAAGCATTTTAAAAACTTTATTTACTGTGCTCTATTATTATATTATTGACATTTGCTGATCACATAAAAAATTCTCACCATAAGAAAAAACATAAGAATATAATGAAAGTTGAAATACAAATAGTAACTTAAAATTCCTAAATCTATTTCCCTGCCAACTTGATTAATAGATGCCTTTTTGCTGTTCAAATTTATCTTCATAATTTTGGCTAATGGTAATATTTTCAAGCCATTTTTATTACCCACATATAGTTAAACAATAAATAAATAGAGTTAATGCCTTAACGGTTTTGCGATAATCCCTACTGACTTAATGTATTCTGTATACGAATGAAGTTTAATCTGATTGGTAAACGGAACTCTGCGTAATGACGGTTACGTAATCTCGCTGCCAGTGGATTAAGCTCTTTTTAAATCGATATTTCTTGCACACCAAAGCGTCTTGCTGGATTTAGGTCCTTTGACATTGCTCGGGGCAAGTTGAGCGAAAATTATAGGTATTGAACTCTACTCGAGATGTCAATTGGATATTATTAACGAAACTAATCAAGACGTATCATTATAAGCGAAATCTTGAAATTTGTGTGTTAAATAGCTTAACTTAAAAAAAAAACACGATGTCGAACGCCTCCCTTCCCGTCGTTATTAGTTAATCTCAAAAGATAGACATATAGCGCCGCAGAATTTCTTTCGGAAATTTAAAAAGGAATCATTCTTTCATACAAATTTTTGGGTATCTTGAACGGTTTTTGCAGCGTACGCCTCGGAAATCCCATTATGGGTATAAATAATGTTTCCATTGTTTTTCATATTTCTCACTGCATCTTCATGTATTAGCCAAGTTATGTTAAGAAAGGACAAACCGACACCTCCACATATATAATAATCCTTAGCTTTCAAATAACTAACAGATAACAGTTAAAAAATATCTCTCGTTAATATTTTCACTGTACGTCTCTACATAGAAATCGAAATTCCCGTTCAGATTTTCAATTCCCGGTTTGTACTGCTCCAATTACTTAGAACGGTAAGGGCAGCTAAGCGTGAAGTTACTCTGTAACTGAATGAATAATTGCACTATTTATGTAATCAAAACATCTCATTACTATGGGATTCTCAATTAAAATATGCTCATAGAACAAGAGAAATGCCGTTCCTCTGGAACGAACATTCCAGCGTTTAAATCACAATCCGAAACTGCTGATATTATAAAACTGAGGAGTTTGTTTGTTTGTTAAATTTATTGGTGTTGGTTAGAGCATTTATCGAGAAAGGTTTTTGGCTATGAAACACCATACTGAAAAAAACCCTTAAAAAATCATTCTTCTTTAAACGATCTAAAACTGAAAAGAGTCGGCCAGAAGACAATAGAACTCACAAGAAACGTTTTTATAAGAATAACATTTTGGCGAAATGCTGGCAAAAATCGTTTACGAGGTTAGCTAGACACTTATTACGTAGTTAATAAATTAGTGACTCACCTGACTGAAATTTAGTAAAATATTATCTATATTTTATGTGAGTACTACATATTTTAAACAAAACACTTTTAATGTTTTAAAACGCAAAATATATTCGTTAAATAAATTCACCCGGTTGTAATAAATAAAACGGTTAAGTTATATACTACGCGTTTTAAACAGTTAAAAGTATTTATGTGAATTCAATTAAAATCTTACTAGAGATACGAATTCAGAACGTATCGTGCTTTTCTTTAATCACTAAGCCATAAGGCTAGAAAAATATGATGAATAAAATCGCTCAAATAAGGATATATTTATAACGTGAAAATTTGAATAGGAAAAATAACTATCGATAGTTGGATACAATAAGTAGATAAATAGGAGGATTAATATATTTTACTATCATATTGTGCAAATAAATCGAATGTCGTAACAGAACAAAAGTCACATGATTGAGATGCATCGTGTTCCGTTGAATGACCTCGCGTCTTATTCTGGAAAATTCCAATTTTTTTCACCCAGTTTCCTATTTTTTTAAATTTAATATACACACTATAATATTGGCAAATAAATAATAACCCAAGGTTATCTACTCATCATTTATTATTGGAGCAAATTTGTCCTAAAGTAACATGCTTAACTAACGCAAGGACGAAATATCTTTATAAAATGAAACAGGAAAAATTTACGTTGACATAATTTCAGAAATAATACACAACGAATATGATTCGAGTGATTTTTCTCAATAAAACCACGATAATTATTGATTCCAAGTCACGTAGACAAATATAATTGTTAATAAATATATATATAAACAGGATATATATACAATTATAGTTTTGATTATTTGTGTCATTTTAATAAACGATAAACTTTATTAACAAGCTTTAATTGTGGTTTTATTAGAATTCAATTACTTTGATCTGATGAATATACAATTAAACAGTTTGTAATTTGTTATAGATTAAATCGTAACCATATTTTTTTTATTTGTCATTTTTCGGTAAAAAATATATATGTAAATACTTATGTCAAGTGCTTTGTATAGCTTAATAAGTTAACTAATAATTTTCACGTTCCAATCCGTTAAAAGTGTCCTATTTAAACTTTCTATCAAGTTTTTTATTAAATAGTTACTCACGAATGCCCTGTACTTTAACAAAAAAAAAAAGGATTTTAGTATTAAGAATAGAGCCCGTAAAGATGTCTTTACATCGAATACGATATAGATGGTTCAGAATAAGCCCGCGGCGCTGTATGTTACGTCAAATGATTATGTATGTCAATGACAGTATGTTATATGGTTTTGTTTAATACTATTTTAACGATGTTATCACCTGATTTAAGCATATTTTTTTCATGACAAAAGTAGCGTTCGTGAAACTGCTTTGTACCAACTAATTTGAAATTTGTGGTGTCTAGTCGCTCTTAGATATAAGCTAAGTACTATCACTGGAAGACAATCGTGTAAGAAGCTGGTCCAGAAATATGTATCTAAAAAGTACACAGATACAAAGAATCAACGACACGAAACTTTTGTCCGTTGAATTATTATCCAAGAAAAAGTATTTGGTCAATTCCTAATGCGTGTCGTTATAAAAACTACTATTGTTATTATTTTTTCTAATTTAGAAATTTATTTTTAATTAAATCAAAAATTTTACGACTGGCGGATCATGAATCGGTTAGAGCCACAGCGTTTAACGTTAAACCATTAAAGATGAAATATATACAATCTCAAATCGAATTTTAATTTTTACAACACCACCATGTGCAATATTACAATATCTTTAGTTTATCTGATTTCTTTTAATATAATAATGTTAAAAGAAATCAAATTATTACGATTGTTTCTTTATATCGGGGAACCCCCAAGGCTTACTAACAAACTCATAACTGGCCTTGACTTTTCAATACAATTTGATTAACGCAGCTGGTTCCAAGGTCGGTCTGTGAATAAAATTAGAAGTTCTTTCTTGCTAATCAATTAGAAAAAATGTTCTGTCAATCGGAAAGGTGAATTCAAGCGTTTACTACGTTTTTCTTTTCTTCTTAGACTTAAACTTCTATTAAGGTTAATTCTTATTTTCTATTAATATAAGATATTCAATTTAAATGCTTCAAATACGTTTTCATTACAAGACGAACTTTTGAATTACGCAATAGCTCTGCCATTGGATAATCAAACGCGTTTTAAACAGTTCCATTTATAAACGATTTAAAAACAATATTTACATAGCTTATAATAATTAAATAAATTATACTACTTTTATTTGCAAGTTTTACCCCATTACTGTTGTGCGTTGCAAAATATTAATATTGGATAGTAAAGTATCGCCTGTTGCTTACGCGAATCATACACATTTAAATAAAATATTTTTAACGGCTTAAATCCGGGTAAACACTACATTGTTGCGTTCGGGCAGAGCACAGAAGTGTGAACTACTGACAATTGTCTTCGCATGCACCACAGGGAAAAAAGGAATTTCACCTTTCCAGCTTACATTATCGTAGATTTTATCAATATCTATCAAGCATATTTATTCTTCATTATTAATCAAAACAATTGATTTTTTTACACTGGCAACAATCAGTGTCAGTATGGGCATATCAACCTTGAAGGAACGTATAATTGAATTGCCATAGAATAATAGCAGGATACATTTGGTCACGTGGAGTGGAGGAACCGGCCTCAAGGCTGTGTAGGTCAGGGCCTAGACGATACTTTTGATTGATGACGTCATTAACCATGTATTCGGAGACCTCTGAATAGATTTCTACGTTTTGAACATGGAATGATTAACTAACGTCGTTACAAGCTTTTATATTTTACGCAACGCGGATTAAAATACTACATGCAATTAATAGTTATAAAAGTCGTACTATATTTAAAT